CAATCAAACGTTGATCTTTATAATCTGCCACGGTGGGGACCGTCGTTCGTCTCAGAATTAGAACCAAGAGGTCCCGGGTTCGAACCCTGTCATGCCACCGGTCTTGTGCCCTTGGGAAAGGCTCACATCCCTCATATAAAAATTAGTATCACATCGTCCCATATGTTGGTGGCGGCATAAAAATAAGTTGAAAAAAAATTGAGTGTGCCTTCACCTGAGTGTGATTACATGCTGGAATTAAAAAAAAATCTACCAATTTTCATTTTCTGAAGATGTGGTTTGTCCTGGGAATGAACGCCAGTGTTTGGACAGTTCGTGCATCCCTGACTATTACTGGTGCGACGGATGGTTTCGCGACTGTGCGAACGGTGAGGACGAAACGGACTGTGGTGGCGAATCACGAGGTAGGCAGTTTTCTTTTTTTGAATAATTCATCAAAACATAAAAACAACTGTCCAAAAGACAGTTTTAGGATAAAGTACTAACGCCACCACAACGATGCAAACTGAAATGAATGAATGAATGAATGAATGAGTGAGTGAGTGAGTGAATGAATGAATGAATGAATGAATGAATGAATGAATGAATGAATGAATGAATGAATGAATGAATGAATGAATGAATGAATGAATGAATTTTTATTTATGCGTCTTGCGACTTTTGTCGCCCAGGCCATATGGGCTTACAAGACACCAAAACATCAACATAAACATAAACATAGGTACAGAAATCATATAAACATAAATTTAAGTCCGAGTCAAAAGGTCAGACTGGAAACATCAAATGAAATTAAAGAACTTAATACAAAGTTGTACATAACATAATCGGTACATAAGAGTCAAAAGTGCACAAGGTCAACTCAAATTGTCAGAAGTACATATTAAATGCAAGTACATAAATTCAAATGAACTTACAATGTGAAGAAAAGACCGTAGTACTCTAGTCGCAAGACTTAAGTTATCAACAGGTAAGCCAAGCCACCTCTTGAAGCCAATCTGCGGTAAAAAAAGATTCTTACTCCTTTCTGTCACTATGAACCCAACCTCAGAAACACATCCAAAACAATACCTAAAGATACTACCCACTTGAGGCTGAGTGGATACCTTGCGAGTTGAAATGTATTCTGACTTTGCTACAGATATAACAGCATGGCCTGCTGACGTTACAACAGTCAATGGGGCTCTGCCAACCACGAAAGACCGTGAAGACACTGAACCTTTCAGCAGTGTGAGTACTGAAGTACAACCTGGCCTAGCCACGCCTTCTGGCGGTCTGACTAGCGAAGTACAGCATGGCCTAGCCACGCCTCCTGGCGGTCTGACCACTGAAGTACAGCCTGGCATAGCCACGCCTCCTGGCGGCTTTACCACTGAAGAGCAGCCTGACCTAGCCACGCCTCCTGGCGGCTTTACCACCGAAGAGCAGCCTGACCTAGCCACGCCTCCTGGCGGTCTGACTACCAAAGGGCAGCCTGACCTAGCCACGCCTCCTGGCGGCTTTACCACCGAAGAGCAGCCTGACCTAGCCACACCTCCTGGCGGCTTTACCACCGAAGAGCAGCCTGACCTAGCCACGCCTCCTGGCGGCTTTACCATCGAAGAGCAGCCTGACCTAGCCACGCCTCTTGGTGGTCTGACCACTGAAGAGCAGCTTGATCTGACGATGCCCCCTGGCGGTACAACAAGCACTGCAGCCCCGACAACAAATGATGGTACAAAACTGCCTTTTTTCAAAGCACGGTCTACACGGAAGATACGAATACAGTATTGTAGCAAGTTTTGTGATATATGAGGAGTAATGATGATGAGTACATTCTATATGTAGTGATGTTCAATCAAGAAGAATTGACGGTTTTCCTTTCATTATTTTGACAGACTCGGGGGCAACAGCTGCTACCATTGCCGGTGGCGTACTGACCTCAACCATTCTGGCTCACGTTATCTTGGCTTATTACGATATGTTCGCTTAGGTTGGGCCAGGCTAAAGGACCGACAAAGTACTTGCTGTTTTGTATGATATATTGCAGCACGATTGTAGGATGGTGTCGTAATGATGTAACCTGCATGCACGAGGAAACAAATGTATTCAATTTTTATATACAAACTGTACCCTTCGTTAAAACGTCAGATAGGATCATTGTTTTCATTATGGGTTCACCACACCACGAAGTGGTGGTGAACCCATATTGCTATTTCTGATGTTTCTTCTCCTCCTTCTCCTTCTCCTTCTCCTTCTCCTTCTTCTCCTGCCATTTTTTAAATGGATTCAGCTTCTTCATTTTAGGGCCCGAGGTCCTGAAATTTGGTATGGAGGTACAGTGGGCAAATACCCCTAGGCGTTTTTTAAATTATTGTGATACAGGCTTTTAGAATGGTTTTATTTGAGTTTTTTGGCTGTGTTATGGCAAATGTATTACTGTGTTAGTGTGCCTTGTTTACCACGTTTGGGCATGAGTCATCACAATGGAATGCAGGGCATCAACCAATAGGCATGCAGCTTTCCTCTATTCTTCTTGCTGATTGGCTGTTGGGATTTAACTTGATTAACAGACTGCACAGAGCATTTCCACCTGCACAGAGCATTTCTTGCTGATTGGCTGTTGGGATTTAACTTGATTAACACCTGCACAGAGCATTTCCATACTGACAGTATGTCTGTATTCAAGTGTTTTGGTAGGGATTTCACTACTTCAATCCGACCGCTGCATCAGCTGCAGAAGCGCTTCGTTAGGATTGCATCTAATGTCCCATTTTTTGCTAACTCTGCGGCTCTATTTTACAACTTGAAAATTTTAACAGTGTACGACATAAATAAACTCCAAACAGCAATTTTCGTTCACAAAGTCTTACACAAAAGTTCACAATTACCAGCTCAATTCAAGGACATATTTCAATACAACTCAGATATCCACAGTTACAGTTCCAGAAAGCAAAATGATTTAAGGCCAATCCTAACAAAATCAAATATGAAACAGTTTACGATAATCATTAGAGGCCCGTTAATTTGGAACAGTATAAGTCATTCACAGCAGAATTGCCAATCCCTTCCAACTTTCAAACGACATTTAAAAACTGACCTAATAGAGAAGCCATCTACCACTTCCTGATTTGCTTTTGTTTTCCTTGTTTTCTTATGCTACGATATTTTTCCTTGCGTTAATATTGGTTTCTTATGTTGTTCTTACCATATTAACTTATGATTTGACTAATGGAAATGTATTTTTTGTTGAATACGATATGTTTTTGATTGTCTTACTTAATTGTTTAGATATTTAGTTTGCCGTGTTAACTTTATATTATCTTGTTTGAGTTAATTTTCTCTTGTTTGTCCCTTAAGACATGCATGTTAATTGTTAACGTAAATAATGTTGTAAATATGAGATCATCAACAGGATTTGGGAGAGCCCACTAGATAAACCTCCTGGTTTCTTGGGCTCTCCTGCATGTATTTGATTGTACATAATTTCTTTTTATACCATTACTTTTCTTGTGTGCGAAAGGACAATAAACAATAAACAAACAAACAAACAATAAACAAGCTTTCCTGCTCCAGCATTGGAATGCGGGGCATGGACGTTTTTTTTTATTTTGAAAATCAACAGTTTGCATTATGCAATTAAAAATCCTAACCAATAAAGTAGGGAATAGCTATCCAACTGTTGTTTTAGTTGTATTTTACTTCATATTATAGTTATATCAATGTAAATCATTGTTTTCCCTTGTGTTTCTCATTCTTTCCCTGCCATGTCGTAAAATGTGGTGAACCCATCGCTGTATTTGCTCCAAAGCAAATATTGGCCTTTCTAGTTAGTTTAAGTTTTCTTTTAGAAAACTGGTTCTAGAATGGATAGGCCAGTCAAGTAACTCTACATTGAAAATTGTTTTCTTTGATGTAAGACTTCACTTATACGACTTTTGTTTTAAACTTTTTGAAGTGCAATACTTAATTCCTTTTATTTATTCTTGTACTTATTAGTTCTCGGTAGTATTTATGTTCAGTTTCCGTGGAAGAAACTGCTATAGGGAGGTTCTATTCTTATGTAATTTATTTAGGAATGTTTATTGTGGAAAATAAATATTGAAAGTTTTTAAAAAGCTTTATATTCAAGGCGCGTATATCCCTAATACTGTTAGAGTCATATTTCATAAAAAAATAACAACACATGGATTCTCTTTATTACAAATATTAAGCACGATATTATCATACATCCTAGGTCTGTGAACAGTATGTCAGTTTTGAACAAAACTGGTATAATAAATACTTTTTGCTTAATTCACTGTGTTCTGTGCTTGGATTTACATTACCAGCTTCGTACGTATTTCTGTGGTTTTGAAAACAAAGACAGGTAGGCAGACAGATGTAAAAAAAAACGTAGGACACAAATCTCTTTCAAGCAATCATTATGTTTAAAAATGTTTGGTACCCTGTACACAGTCATGACAAATTATCATTTTTTTTAAATCAAAACATTAAAACATAACAAGAACAGTGTGACGCTGCACTCAAGTTCATAACAAAAAGTACAATTAACATTTTAATACACAAAGTTGACATATCTGTGCGCCGTAGTCCCACCACCCCAAGACATTAAAAAATGCTAATGCTAACAAAGTTATTTGAAAAAAAAAAATTACGTGTTAACCTCCTATATCTCAATTTCAGATCAATCCATTAAAAGGATCTTGATTCCTAGCTAGGTGCGAAGACACGAACCGAACAGACAAAAAGAAGTTGTTCAACATATCAACAAAGTCTATTCTTAGCAAAGAAGACTATTGTAGCATTTGCTCATAAATTATTCAAATGTTGCCCTGATTTGCATTGTGCACATCTAATTGTTGTGCAATCTCACAATTAAAGTTCCACTTTACTTATTAACTTCCAAAAGATCTCTTAACAGTACCTAAATCATAGGAAAACTCGTTGTATTCTTGCATCTTCACATCTGCTTGAACACCTGGTTGCCCATGGTTACGCCGGTCGACCGCGCCTGCTGACCTTTGACCTATTACCCACGATGCACCACGTTCTGTTTAGTACCAAGATGGCGGTTGTTTTCACCTGTTACGGAAACATACTTAGTGCCAAATGTTTTAGGGGCCTTTTTCAGAAGATTTAGACGTCCCAAAGGGGTATATGAAGACAGCAACTATCTATGCAAGGTTCTGATGGCTTTAGTTGGAGTTGTGCCTTACGGGAGTTTGTTTATTGGTAAGTTTGTTTGCTCTGAAATCTTACGAGATTTTACATCCGTTGGGGGGGGGGGGCTACTTATAACT